CTCGCCTCACCTCGCCTCATCTCGCCTCACCTCGCCTCACCTCGCCTCACACCCCGCCTCATCTCGCCTCACACCTCGCCTCATCTCGCCTCTCCTCGCCTCATCTCGCCTCACCTCGCCTCATCTCGCCGAGGTACACCTCGCCTCATCTCGCCTCATCTCGCCTCACCTCGCCTCATCTCGCCTCATCTCGCCTCATCTCGCCTCACCTCGCCTCATCGCCCCTCACCTCGCCTCACCTCGCCTCATCTCGCCTCATCTCGCCCCACATTTTTTTCTTTTCTAGACCACTCCGAGACCGACCCAAGACCGACCCGAGACCCGAGATCGACCCGAGATCGACCCGAGATCGACCCGAGATCGACCCGAGATCGACCCGAGATCGAACCGAGATCGACCCGAGATCGACACGAGATCGACCCAAGATCGACCCGAGATCGACCCGAGATCGACCCGAGATCGACCCGAGATCGACCCGAGATCGACCCGAGATCGGCACGAGCGATCAACCCAACAATGCCCCAGAGCCCCCTCCGGGGGGACCCCCCCTCACCCCGAGTGTCCGTGTCCTTCGCGAGTCACCGATGGGGAGCGGGGGGGGGTGCCAGATGCACAGGGGAGGCTGGGGAGGGGGGGGTCCACTCTGAAGACTGCCGACCGCGGGGGGGTTTTGTCCCACAGGGTTTTACCCTCCGCGTGAGGATCGGCGCGGCGAGGGGGTAGGTTCGAATTCGCCGCGCAACATTTCACCCCCACAGGACCCCGCCCACCCCCCCTCATGGTCCCACCTAGTACCCCAATGAGCCTTCGCACCCCCTCCTTGCGCAGTGTCCCCCACTATGTGTCGCCGTTATCGGGGCATGCTATCCTGTGTAGTCAGGGCAAGTGGGGGCGAGGCGCAGTCCCTCTGGTCTATACTGGTGTGGTTCTGTCCCTAGATAAAGGGGGACTAAGGGCTCTGCCCGCAAGGCGCCCGCGTCGCAGACGCGGTACTCAGCTTCGTAACCCGTGAAAACAAAAGCAGGACCGTGCCTCCCAAATACGACAACCTCAAAAACAAGTTTGGTAAACGCTCGGGCGCTCGGCGTTTCCTTCTTCGATTACGGACGGACGAAATGATCGGGGAAAAGCGCATCGCGACATCTCTGGGGTACTGCCCCGAGTCAACCGCTTTGAAGAGCTCCTGTCTTGGGCTGAGGAGCGCGCCGCTGCCAACGGCATCACTCTGCCCTACCAGCAGCCCGGGTTCAAGCCTGAATCAGTGATGCCGCCGGTTCGCACCCCGGCCGCCGCCGCTAGCTCGGCCGCCGCCGCTAGCTCCAGCTCAGACGATCCTCTAGATCTTCCCCCTCTAACCGCTGATGGGCCGGTGTCGATGCAGCTTGCTGAGCCTGAAGGCGAGGAGGAGCTTTAGCTTTATGGACTCGGTGTTTTGTGACCCCCCCGCCTGAGGAGTGGACTGACTTCTAGCTGTGTGTATCGCGCGCCTTGCGGGGCTGTGTCGTGGTGTGTGCGTGTGCGTTAATACCGCGCAAAAGGGCTCTCTCTACTCGAGTATCCGTCCGCGCAGACGCAGTTACTCTGCCGCGGTTCCCCCTTTTGCGCAGCAACACCTTAAACTTTTAGGCCCTCCAAATTCGGGTCGGAGCGTAGCGGAGTGGGCCCCGAGTTTGAAAAGGGCGACGGACGCTTGCGTCCTAGCCTCCAACAACGCCTCCCCGGCGCAGCAGAGGGGCCCCCGGATGCGGCAACGCCCCACGCCGCTTGCGGCGGTCCTATTCCCAGCTCTGCTGAGGGCCCGTGCGTACTTGTGACCAATGAAGAGAGCGCGCGACGAGGCCGAGCAGCAGCCGCCTGCCGACGAGCAGCCTCCTGAAGATCCGCCGTGGGAGCGCGACCCTGACTCCTACGTTGCGGCAAGAGACGTCGTCAAGCTTCGCTTTGTCGCGTCGGCGTCCGACGTGCTGACCGACGCAGAGGCGCCGGCCTTTACGCCGCCGTTTTTGCACCAGCACTTCGCCAACGAAGCGCTCGCGCTGCCCGTGAG